ATAATTGTCACACTATCGAGTTATCATTGTTTCACTATCGTGTTATCATTGTCACACTATCGAGTTATCATTGTTGCATTATCGTGTTATTATTGTCAAACTATCGTGTTATCATTGTTTCTCTATCGTGTTATCATTGTCACACTATCGAGTTATCATTGTTGCATTATCGTGTTATTATTGTCAAACTATCGTGTTATCATTGTTTCACTATCGTGTTATCATTGTCACACTATCGAGTTATCATTGTCGAACTATCTTGTTATCATTGTCGAAAATCGTCTTATCGTTGTTGCACTATCGTCTTATCATTGCCACACTTTTGTGTTATCATTGTCAGACTGTCGTGTAATCATTTCCGCACTATCTTGTTATCATTGACACACTATCCTGTTATCATTGTCACACTGTCGTGTAATCATTTCCGCACTATCGTGTTATCATTGTCATACTATCATGTAATCATTGCCAAACTATCGTGTTATCAGTGTTGCACTATCGTCTTCTCATTGTCGAACTATCGTGATATCATTGTTACACTATCGTGTTATCATTTTCACACTGTCGTGTAATAATTTCTGCACTATCGTGTTATCATTGTCACACTATCTTGTTATCATTGTCGCACTATCGTGTTATCATTGTTACACTATCGTGTTATTATTGTTGCACTCTTGTGTTATCATTGTCACACTATCGTGTTATCATTGTTGCACTATCGTGTTATCATTGTTACACTATCGCGTTATCATTGTTGCACTTTCGTATTATCATTGTTACACTTAGCGATATCACTCTCATTTTTTTTTCAATATTCTTTTATTTATGTTTACTGATAGCTGTCATACAGAAATCAGAAACATGTCTTAGTTCTTAACTTTGTAAATGATATGGTATTTAAAAAATGAATGGTGTTAAGCCAAGCATTTGACTTTTGTGTTAAAGGTTCAAAGTTAATGAGGCGTGTGTTAAGTTCCTAATCAATCAAATTTAACAACTGTAAATATAACCCTTACATAAATAAATAAAGAATGGAATGTACATGTTTTGTTTTAACTAAATGACATACATATTTTTGTGAAGGGAATGTGATTTTTTATAATTATAGTACTTTACGTCAAATAATTCCAATTTTGCCTAGTAAAAATCTTAAAAATTTTCATGAGTAATAATTATTATATACCTATGACTTTTATTCCTAAATTACACGCATATTATGATTCAAAGGATAGAATAAAAATATTGTTAGTGACAAATACGTTACTATTTAATGAAGTGCCGGATATGTTTTCTCGTTGCTTCCGGTCTTAGCTGTGCATTACGTCGAGTTAGGAAATATCGATATGCATTTATGAGTCTTTTCGTATTTTAGACATTTTTATTATTTTATGTGTCAGTCATTATTAATTATTAGTTATTGACCATTACAAAGTAAATCTCGTGAAATATATAAGTATTTGGCTTAAATGTCACTATTTAACAAAAGATCCTACTTCACCAGTTAATAGTAAAGCTACAAGATATATTGATATTAAATTTACATTTTGTTCGTTATTGCAAGATATATTGATATTAAATTTACATTTTGTTTGTTATTACAAGATACACTGATATAAAACGATATCATTTGGTTTGTTATCACAAGATATATTAAAAAATATGTATTAAAACAATTTAAAAAGATGATCGGCGTAAATCAGTACACTGATGAATGTTTCACAGATTTACAATATTGTCAAAGCAAAAAATAATTTGAATGAATTGTAAATGGTAATGATTAACTTTATCAATGTTTTAGTAGAAATATACTTTTAGGCTACTGAAATATGTATATTTATCTTTTATAGCTGAATTGAAAATCTTTACCACTAATCGGAAAGATCGCGACATTTTGACCTAACTGAATACATAATACATGGGCGCATGCTGGGATTTTTGTCTACGATAATTTACTTTAAAAGCAAACATTGTATAATGTTGTCAGATGCATTATCGTAATGTAATATATCTTAATGAAGATACGAATGTACTTCTTGCATGTGAGGTAAAAAACTTTAGAAATTGCAAACGAGCTTTCAAGGAATTTACTCAAAGTAATGTATATATCATTTTACAGTAAGAAATACATCATTGTCAATAAATATCAAACAGATACACGAGGAAGATTAAGAAGAATATATGAGCCGCGTCATGACAAAACCAACATAATGGATTTGCGACCAGCATGAATCCAGACCAGCCTGCGCATCTGCGCAGTCTGATCAGGATCCATGCTGTTCGCTTACAAACCCTATTGCAAGTTGAGAAACTGACAGCGAACAGCATGGATCCTGATCAGACTGCGCGGATGCGCAGACTGGTCTGGATCCATGCTGGTCGCAAATCCATTATGTTGGTTTTGTCATGACGCGGCTCATATAACGATAACTGCTGTATCAAAGTTAATACATCCGTGATCAACTGGTTCATGTCGTTCCCTTCAAAACACTTCAATACAAACATGTATTTTATTTTATAAGTGAAAACTTGTTCTTGTTGTAAAATATACACACAGTAAGTTGATCATTAATGAAGTGTTTATATTTCCTGTAAATTATACAGGAGTACAGTATTGTAAGTAGCTCATGTTGATAACGTTCAATTTCATATTTGGCTTTTTCTATTTCGAACCCTACTTTCTTTTACAAAATACAATGTTGTTGTTGTTGTTGTTTCTCTTTAAATAGTACATTTTGTAAAACATAAACGAAATGATAAGAAAATAGCTGTTTTTAATTTTATAGAACATTTCTTTAGTCTTCTATTAGCAATTTATAAATTTATCAACAATTTGAACTTGAATATGTATATTGATACTAACGCTTTACACTCTTCCTCTATTACATATTAGTATATATCATATATGAACGGTATAAAAAAGGAATGCTTACATATCATAATTACGACGTAGAAATGTAACACCAAAAACTATAGAATTTCTTTACTAATGTTGACTTTGTTAATCATTTTATCATCTAAAAAGAACAGTCGCACACGTACATTTAGCCGATCAATACAGTTGCTGATTCAGGCCCGGGCTTCATGGCTGCATTCCCGACCAGCTCTGCAGGAAGATACGTTTTCGAGCTTGCTGAACTATTTGTGTGTCATTATTGGCCGTAGTGTACAACCTCATCAAAACATTTAAAATGGTCAATCGTCCAAACGGCATTCTAATTTAATAGGCCTATTACTTTCCATACGTGTAATGAAAATAACAGTCACAAGCAAGTTGACTTAGTTCCCTCAGTATTGGTTTGTAACGAATCCTCCAGTTGTTTTGAAAACCATATGTATTGATTGAAAGATAAACTGATTGGTCTCTGATTTATTTATAAACATTTATATCATACGAATATTGCCTTAAACAAATTTAAAATGTAATTGTCATGTTAAAAAAGTCCTCTTAAATATCTAAGGTGGATTCATTAAATCAGCAAAGTAACGAAAAGGATTGTTCGACGTTAAAAAAAAACAATAGGAAATCAAAATTCAACCTCAGATTTCAACCTGTTCTCTTATGTGTCGGTGTGACGTAAAACCCAATTTAACAAACAAACAAACAACCTGTCCTCTTTCTATGATAGCGGCCCCCACACCTACACTGTTCACATGTACATAATGGAGGTTCAATCTTAAAAAAACGCGCACTTTTTTCGCTTTTCTCCCACTCACGTGTCTCCCACCCCCAGGTAGCCTTGGTCAGTAACCCCATCTGATATAATGATTAATATACATAGGCAGATAAACACCCATTGTCAGATAAACACCGCTAATCTCCTTTGTGCCAAAATTTTGAGTGGTGTAAGAAGTGAATATAATGTAAAACTAGTAGAATACATGTATATTTGGTTATACACAGCTTGTAGGTGTTTATTTAGAATAAAAATAGACAGATTTCTACAAAGTATTTCAATCTATATAGCATATGTTTCCGGTTTCAGGTATACTTTTATATCACAGAAATCGATGACTTTGTATATGGAGGTGTTGGGAAGTATTGGAAAGTTTTATAAACATTTCATAAGCGGCTTTGGTGCCAGTAATAAATCAGCATGTGTTTAAAATGACAAGCATGACTTTATGAAATATCATACCGAGATATGACAACTTATTTGGGAGTCTACGAAAATAATACACGACCATATACGTGTATTTTTACTGTAAACATGTAAATATAACTATTTCACCATAAACATATAGCCACCTATATAGATACTAGTTTTTTGCACGTTTAACACGGTGATACTTATATATAAACTGTGTTATATGGCAAACATGTCTGACATGTTATATTGCAAAGATGTCTGATATGTTATATTGCAAAGATGTCTGATATGTTATATTGCAAAGATGTCTGATATGTTATATGGGAGAGATCTGACATGTTATATTGCAAACATGTCTGACATGTTATATTGCAAAGATGTCTGATATGTTATATTGCAAAGATGTCTGATATGTTACATTGCAAAGATGTCTGATATGTTATATTGCAAAGATGTCTGATATGTTATATGGCAAAGATATCTGATATGTTATATGGCTGTGTATAAACGGTTGTTTACAATAAAACCCTGGCCTTGATGTATTGGTTATATGGGCTTACAACCGCTTATAAATTTAGTAAAACAACCGTTTATACAACATGTGTCAGTAAAACATGTTGCTCACGTAAATATATAGATGCTTTTCAGAAAGCAATTTTCACTTCACCTGACTGCCATTTTTTGGACTATTTCCAATAAATCATGTGCTTAAGATTGGATAGAAATGTCTCATTATATTAAATAATGAAAATAATTCACATAAATTAGCTGTTTTATTTGTATTTGCATACTTTGTTAAATTATGTGGAATAATGACCCCCCCCCCCCCGAAATGCCTGGAACAATTGACAAGCGGGAGTTGGGTGGGAGAGCGGGGGTAAATATAGAAAAAGGGGAACTTTCTATTGCTATAAGCTCTCTTAACATGTAAATCTATTGCTATATCATTACTCTAAAACTGGCTGTGTATGTGCGTGTCTAGTTGTTTGCTTGTATACGACTTATGTTAACGTACTAAAGTCGGCAGTTAAAACAGTCTTTGTTCTGTTATGATGATAATAAAATCGCAAAGGTTTCATAGTTTCATGTTCTAAAATCTAACAATCAACACGCAAGTTGGTTGATTTTGAAACAATGAGTGGGATATCATATAACAAACTCGGTATAACCGCGGGTCACATGCCATTAAGCCATCTGTCGAAAGTCCATTTCCTAATCTAACCTTCTTTTCCCTTTTATAATTAAGAAAGTCGTGGGCAAGATAAGCGAAATTCTTTGATTTAATCACAACTCCTTTCCTATTAGCTGTTAAGTAAATAAATCATTAAAAGACTCGGAAAATATATTTTGGAATTACAATTTCAAATGTCCAGTGAGTTGTAAAAGTTTATTAACTTTTCACTATATATATATATATCATTTCTTTTTCTTTTTTATATTACAACTTAAATGTCTGACAGTGGAAACGTTTTAAAAGACAATTTATAATGAGTTATAAATTATTTTACCTAGTGGCGTTTGTATTGCCACACTGCAGTAAGATTCAAGTTTTTGCACTTTATATAGCATAACAAAACAGTTTAAAAGAAGACCTTGTAAAAAAAAGTTTATTTCAGCGACCTTTTTATGATGTTTCCTTAAAAATGTTTTCATTCTATTTTTGTACAGTTTTATAAGATTTGTATTTAGTTACTATCTTTGCAATTTTAATATGATAATATAAATCTGAACGTCTTGCTATAGTTTGCTTTTAATTAATTTAGTTATGAAAGTGTCTGTTGTCTCAGCAATTATTGGGCTGGGCACATTATATATGTGATGGTTTGACATGTGTTGTCATTTTATGAAATAGTGTTATACGGGTGCATTGATCAGGAAATTGTTTTTGATTCTCGTGGATTTCTTTAAGGAATGGAGCTCATAACAGACCGAGAATCGCTTATAATTACTATATATTAAACTCAATATTCAACCAGAAGCGAGTGTCCTACCACAAAACAACCGCATGTTTAAAATTGGCGCGAATAAAGTACTACTTTTAACAATAACGCAGTGTCATTCAGGATGTAATTTAGATTTACTTGAGTTTCAAATCAATTTGCTTACTTTTTACAGTTCACTTACATGAAAACTATTTTGGAGAAAAACTAAATGTTGATTGGCGTTTTACATTGTCGCGTCCATTCGTTTAAAATTGGATATTTCTGTAAAATATAGGCCGGTTCACGGTAGCATATCATCGCAAAGAACACACTATGAAAAAAGTTTATTGTCTAAAACGAGAGACGTCTTTTACTTACTTTATTCCTATACATACACCGCCTACAATTAAGTCAGGAATAAAGTTGCAAACACGCCATTTGTTAGTTTATTTCAAAAGAACTTTGGATTGTTACATGACAAAAAAGGATTTATAGAGTATTTAATTGTTAAAACATCAATATAAAGAACAAAATAATGTAACAGACGGTGTTTTATATTTGTTTTAGTTATATCAACACCAACAAGGACCTCTTCACAACATTGGGCGTGCTCTGGTCACTTCCGGTATAATCAGTGTCACGACCCCGTACATCCGGGCAATACATTGGGAGTTACAGAATTCACCATATCATTTCAACGAAATTTGAGACGAATTACACGTCATTTAATTGACGAAATAGAAAACAAAACTACAGAATTTGTGAGTATATTTGTAAATTTTGATCTTCAGATACTTCGCTAATGAAACATACAAATCAGAAGATTAGTGTTCATACTTTTTGTTATGCTAAATATACAATAACAATACAGCACTAATAAATTAAAGTACTGCACTTAAAATATATGCAACATTTCATTATATCATTATATTTTGATTACATTATTTCCTTTAACGATGCGTGTTTTTAATCATTCATGTAAATTCAAATTTTATTAAATAGGAAACAGAAATTATACGATGTGATAACATTGTGCTACGTCTTCAACAAGAAAGTTTGACAAATATTCTTGGTTTACATGATGCAGACAATTTTCACAGTGAGGTTAGTTGTTCATTATGGTTTATAAATGTTTAAAGGCTTAATGATTTGATAGCTCGTTTTACATAAAATTATCTACTCTAAAATACACTTGTATTTGATCGCCACTCTTCCTCAGGCCCTCTGGTTCCATTCCTTTTACAGTCTTATCTCTGAGTGTGTTTTATTTTATAAACTACACTCTTTTATTTCCTTTACTGAATTGTTAACTTGTACTCACACCTGTTTTTATTTGATGCACCGCTGGATTCTGCGTCGGTGGTTTTTGAAGGGGTTAGGGGATGGGCTGAAGACGCTGAATGGGTTTGGGAGATGGGGTGAGGGCGCTTCGTTCGTTGAATGCAGCTTTTCTTTGATGATATTTGTTCTCATATTTCAAGATTACTCTTTACTTTCAGAATTCGTTTACAAACATGTACTTAAAAATGACGGATTTTCTCCATCTTTATAACAAAATCTGGTGTTTGTTTGCATCTAAAGCTGTAGATGAATGCTGTATACCGTTCGAACAATTACATCATAGAATAAAACACCGACTTTTAAGCAAATGGTGGATTGTACAAGAAAGTTTTGGCCAGGTTATGGATCAACAACACTGTGAAACAAGCGTGGTAAACTTCAGGAATACTGAATTGAGATGTGAAGATATAAGAAATACCGTCTACATTCTGTTACGGAATGCACATTCGTTATTAGACGAATCATTATCCGTCATTGATTTAATTTAGTTAAACATTGATACCCCAATGTGTATTTCAAGACTAACTTTTATATCACTTCACATTTAGCTACGTGCAATATTTTAAATCTAATATTTTTCATTGGATGTAGTTTTTATGCTTTCCAAATTTGTTGATATTTTTACCTCATATACTTATACACAATATTTGCTCTTTTTATCACTATCATTTCTTTGTTATCTCATTGTAAAATGTTTATATGTGATGTTATCAATAAACTATCAATAAATAAAATTAAGAAATCTATTTGTCATTTAGACTTTTTCGACGCAATAAGTTGCTATGAAAAATTGACCGGATGTAGTATTTTCTCGCGCATGTGCAATCTGCGCAGGTCAAAAGATCAACGTGCTACATAGAAATGTAGTTGAAGTTTTAGTTAGTTGACGATAAAAAGTAGGAAATAATTTATTATTAGGTAGCTTTGACAAAAAAGGAAAAGATGCATTTATAGCTTCGTGGCCAAAATTGTAATAATAAGATACGGAATATATAGATTTTAATTACTAATTCCCTTTGCAACCACGCCGGACTTAAAAATCGTTGAGATCATTGCTGTAAAAAATGTGGAAATATATTTGTTATCAAGAAAAAAGATTTACTTTTATTTCCTTAAAATAGTTTTAAAAAAAAACCTAAAAAGGTTTTCATAAAATATGAAATCAAAGTTAATTATCATTCTTGAAAACAAAAAGTCAGAACATGTAATAATACATGTTCATGAACATGTTTTTAGTAATCAGTTTGCCTGATTTTGTCCTTTATCCGGTTTGACTGTGATGCCAAATAGTCACTTATAATTATATGCTTTATAATGATTTTATTAAATTTTTAGATCCCAGATTGGTAAAGAAATAACACAATTTTTATCCAGTTAATTGTAACACATTTCGCAGGTAAAACGTAAATTTTCTTTGCGTGATACACTGACTCACGCAATAACGATTTAAAAAGACAAGATAATCTATTAAACATAGTCACGTGTCACAATAGTGGTGGGGGGGGGAATATTCCTGGATCCGTTTCGCCCTGGATCCGTGGTCGTATTTCAAGTAGAATTATGTGAAGCTTTATTTTTTTATGAACAAATTGTTAATGACATTTTTTCTGCCAAAACTGACACAGAAGAAATCACTTATTGTTATAAACAAAAGAATTCCGAATATACTATATGTAAACTATCGTATTACATACAAAATAGATAAGCTGTACTTATTGTTATAAGGGTGTCGATAATGTTTGTATAAAAACATGCAAGTTATCACCTGAATTATTTACCACCTAAACAACTACCAACAATTTATCTGTTCAGCTAATAGCGCAGTGATAGTGTTCGCTCCGTAAGTGTCCAGACCCTGGCTCGAATCCTGGAAAAGGCATTTTTTAAAATTTTCTTATATGTATATATATTTTTTTTTTAGATATTTTTCAACTAACAGGATTTCAGTTCCTCTTAAATTCATAAACACAAAGCTGTCTGAGAACATTAAGTTTTACACAGATTCGCATTTATAGACCTAAATAAAAGTCAACACAGTCGCGAATGGCTAAAAAATGACCGATTTAATAGCAATGGAAGAAAATGCAAATGAGTCCAAATTGTTAAGAATGTGGCGAATGGAATTCTGACAAACTATAAAAATATATTCTGAAAGTTACAACCACACTCAAATGTGCACTTTTGCAGATTTGACCCACCCACCCAAAAATCAACACAAACAAAACACGAAAAAACAATTTTATTCTCTTATAAACTATAAAAAATGAAACTATAATACTGGATTAACTTGCACAACCTATTATCTCATAATAGTATTAACGAATAATGTAAACGTTATCGTGTTTCACTTGTACTAATGTTTGTAAACGTTATCGTGTTTGACTTGTACTAATGTTTGTAAACGTTATCGTGTTTGACTTGTACTAATGTTTGTAAACGTTATCGTGTTTGACTTGTACTAATGTTTGTAAACGTTATCGTGTTTGACTTGTACTAATGTTTGTAAACGTTATCGTGTTTGACTTGTACTAATGTTTGTAAACGTTATCGTGTTTGACTTGTACTAATGTTTGTAAACGTTATCGTGTTTCACTTGTACTAATGTTTGTAAACGTTATCGTGTTTGACTTGTACTAATGTTTGTAAACGTTATCGTGTTTGACTTGTACTTATGTTTGTAAACGTTATCGTGTTTCACTTGTACTAATGTTTGTAAACGTTATCGTGTTTCACTTGTACTAATGTTTGTAAACGTTATCGTGTTTTACTTGTACTAATGTTTGAAAACGTTATCGTGTTTTACTTGTACTAATGTTTGAAAACGTTATCGTGTTTCACTTGTACTAATGTTTGTAAACGTTATCGTGTTTGACTTGTACTAATGTTTGTAAACGTTATCGTGTTTGACTTGTACTTATGTTTGTAAACGTTATCGTGTTTCACTTGTACTAATGTTTGTAAACGTTATCGTGTTTCACTTGTACTAATGTTTGTAAACGTTATCGTGTTTGACTTGTACTAATGTTTGTAAACGTTATCGTGTTTGACTTGTACTTATGTTTGTAAACGTTATCGTGTTTGACTTGTACTAATGTTTGTAAACGTTATCGTGTTTGACTTGTACTAATGTTTGTAAACGTTATCGTGTTTCACTTGTACTAATGTTTGTAAACGTTATCGTGTTTGACTTGTACTAATGTTTGTAAACGTTATCGTGTTTCACTTGTACTAATGTTTGTAAACGTTATCGTGTTTCACTTGTACTAATGTTTGTAAACGTTATCGTGTTTGACTTGTACTAATGTTTGTAAACGTTATCGTGTTTGACTTGTACTTATGTTTGTAAACGTTATCGTGTTTCACTTGTACTAATGTTTGTAAACGTTATCGTGTTTGACTTGTACTAATGTTTGTAAACGTTATCGTGTTTCACTTGTACTAATGTTTGTAAACGTTATCGTGTTTGACTTGTACTAATGTTTGTAAACGTTATCGTGTTTGACTTGTACTTATGTTTGTAAACGTTATCGTGTTTCACTTGTACTAATGTTCAAATAAAATTTTCATTAATAAAATACAAAACAACAGGTAAAATAATTTGTGTATCATAATTAAAAGCATGCAATGTTTATGCTGATTAGAAAATACATTTAGTCAATTTACAACTTTATTAGAAATTAGAGTTAGTGCCTTTTTTTATTATGATACATGTATACAGAACCGTTTGTGCGTTTTTTCCTGATCATAACACATGCATAAAGAACAGTTTTTCGCTTTTTAGTGAATAGAACAATCTGTGCCTTTTTAACACAGAACAGAACAGGACAGAACAGAACAGAGTTTATTTCATAACTTGTACACACATAGGTACAAGCATTTTGAAATATAAGTTTAAGTGACATATTTTACAATATAGGAAAAAAACTTACATAAAGAAAAAAATCTATACAATACTGAGCGATATTTAATACATACAATGTAATACATTACATATACTGATAAAACTCCATTAATCAATTATATATTTATATCTATAAAAGTTTTATTTCAGAAATATCCTGAGGGCCAAAAGCCCATGAGGACAACATTTTATACAGTGTACATGTTGAAAATTACTACATTATAACATCTTGTTATAATCTTGTATCCTTCTTAGTCTCATAGCTACAAGTATAAGCATGATCAACATGTAATCTAATTTTATAATACTGATTATGACATACTCTATCCTATAAATTACTTCTGTAGATGAATAATGAAGAGTACTGAATCTAAGAGGAGAACAAACTATAACTTCGCTTTTAATCGAATTTGTTTGAGAAAATATATATATAATAAACAGAAAGAACATCAAGGTATATACATGTATAATCAAAACAGCTTCATAATACTATTGAAGATTTCTAGAGTTATCATTTCGTCTGATGTTTGCCTTCTTTAAATTATAACATAAGTTTGTAAGTACTTTATGACTTTAAGATTGCATTAATTTTATAAATTTGGCCATACTAGGCTTTTAACACGTATGTATTTATAAGCAGTTTTGTGCGACATATGTATAAAGATACAAGAAGCTTCACTTTAAGTCGCTTTACAATTCACAAACAAAAAACGTGAGATAAAAAGCTATTTACCGACAATAACAAAAAACCATAAAACATAAGGATGAAAAAATGAAATACATTGTTTTTTCCCTAATGGATAAAACCAAGCTAAGTCATGCGACAGATTAAGGAACAGCACGTACTTCTTAATATACCGGGAATAAGTTTAACGTAAATTTAGTTAAGAGAAAATATTTAATGTCGATCATAGTCTGTTTACTGTTAGCATAAATTAAATCATTAGAACAAAAGAGGCATATCAGAAAACAGAAACATTTAAACAAAGTTTTGATTGACATTTTATTGTCAAATTATCGTTGTTTGTACTATGTGTATGGAAATTGTTAAGTTTCTTGCGCATCAGAGTGTTTTTTTGTTTTTATTTCATTTTTTACTGTTTACCCAGATGTTAGAGACACGCAGGCTTCATAGCCAGAATTTCTTACAAATTATATTTATTTTTTGATTTTGTTATGTCTATTGACACATCAACATTTTTTTACTAGGGGATTTATTTACACCGCTTTTCATGAAATGTCATTTAAGTGCAAAATTTAAGACTTTCCGTGTTGGACGATCTTTGTGGTAAAATATTTATTTTTGTTGTCATTGAATTCTTTCATTGTATCTTTTAACTATTGGCCACGTGATAATATATACATGAATTTTAAGTAAAGTTATTATGAATCATCTATTTAACATGAAACATTTGGCTCATAAGATACTTGATGATTCATGACTGAGAAAGATTAAGATAACTCTTTCATAGTCACGATGAGAAAAGTTAGCAAGGTCATATTAATTAGTACATAACATTGATTAGTACATTCCATTGATAAGTATATAACATTAATAAGTACATTACATTAATTAGTACATTATATTAAATAGTACATTTTTTTACATTGATAAGAACATTACATTAATTAGTACATTACATTAATAAGTGCATAACATTAATTAGTTCAGTATATTAATTGGCACATAACATATTAATAAGTAAGGCCATATTAATTAGTACATAACATTGATTAGTACATTACATTGATAAGTACATAACATTGATAAGTACATTACATTAATTAGTACAACACATTAATAAG